CTCCTCCTCCTCCTCCTCCTCCTCCTCCTCTTCCTTTCGTCCTCCTCCTCCTCATCCTCCTCCTCCTCCCTCTCCTCGTTCCCCCCTCCAACTTAAGGTGGTGGTGGTGGTGGTGGAAAACAGGCCCATCATGCCCAGGGGCAGCGCGGGGAGGCCGCGTGCAGAGGGCGCGCCCCGCGGGGGCCCGGGCAGTGCTCGCGGGAGCCTCGCGGTGCTGCGCCGGGGGGGCCCTGGGGTGAGGAGAGGGAGGGAGGGAGGGAGGGAGGGAGGAGGAGGAGGAGGAGGAGAAGGAGGAAAGGAGGAGGAGGAGGAGGAGGAAAGGAGGAGGAAAGGAGGAGGAGGAGGAGGAAAGGAGGAGGAGGAGGAAAGGAGGAGGAGAGGGAGGGGGAGGACTCCCTCCCCCTTCTACTTATGGTGGTGGTGGCGGAAAACAGGCCCACCATGGGCACGCTGCGGCCCCCCCGCGGGGGCCGCAGGTCGCCCCCGGCGCACACGGGTGGGCTGCCCGCGACCAACCCGCGGCCCCGGACCCCTCGGGGCGCCAACGTCAGAGCGGATGTCGTGCTCGGGAGCTGCGTTCAGAAGGGCGCACACGTACATGAATCCACCTTGTTTTCGAGAGTGCGCGTTGCGCGCACGTTCCTCTCGCGCGGACGGTCCCGCGGATTGGGGGGCCGTGTTCATGCATGCACACGGGTGGGCGCGTACGTCCTTCGGGGGCTGCCTATCTGGGTAGTCGAAGGCCAGACTGTCAGATTGGATTGGGCCCCAAGGGCCAATCTGGCCCAGCCAAACTGGGTGATTCGGGTTATTCGCCAGATTGGATTCGCGTTGGCTCCCTCGCCAGATTGCCCCCGTTTGCCAGATTGGGCCTGCCAGATTGAAGCCAGATTGGCTTCGACTACCCAGCCTATCGTGCGGACAACCATGGGATGGGCCTGCAGTGCTCAGTGCTCCGGAGAATCTTGTTCCGGATTTCGGAGTGGATTTCGTGCGGATCTTGTTTTATTTTTATGTGCCAGGAGGGAAAATTACAAAACAAATCCACGTGAAATTCGCGTCGTCTTTCGCTCGCCATGTCGGGGACCTTCGGGGCGCCGGGCATTCGTAGGGGAACGAAGACTGGCATAAGCATAAAAACTCTGAGGTCCGCGCGGATTTCTCGGGTCCGCGCTGGGCCCACCTGGCGGCGCCTCCGGCGCCACCCCTTGCGCGCTCCGCGCGCCAGGGAGGAGGGTCCAGCGCCGCCCCGAGAAATCCGCGCGGACCTCCGAGTTTTTATGTTTATGTCGTTGTTTGTTCCCCTAGTGTCACGTTTGGTTGTGGTTTGGCCACGTTCGTTTAGCATTCACTCACTCGGTTGGTTTGTGTCACGCTTCGGAGAAGAAAAACTCTGGGCCTCCTAGGTGGGGTCGGAGTAGGTGGGGTCGGAGGATCGCGCCGCATCGCCGATGCATCGCCGATGCGGCGCGATGCAGAGCCCGATTTGCTTCACGTCGACGTCGCCGATGCATCGCCGACGTCGACGAGGCATCGCTGGTGCATCGCCGATACATCGCCGATGCATCGCCGATGTGTCGGCGATGCATCGGCGCGGTCTGCCGACCCCATCTTCTCCGACCCCATCCAGGAGGCCATCGGCATGAGCTTTTGGCGCTCCGAGCGCGGATTGCTTGGATCCGCGCTGCCCCCCCCCGGCGGCGCCTCCAGCGCCGCCCCTGGCGCGCTGCGCTCGCCAGGAGGGGGAGGGTTCAGTGCAGGTCCAAGAAATCGGCGCGGAGCGCCGAAAGCTTCTGCTCATGCCGTTTTTGCTTCTGCTGTTTGTGCCACGGTGGCGGCGTGCGCATTCGGTTGGCAAGTCGGACGGGGCTAGGACGAGGACGAATGAGTTCCAGAGCGCTCCGGCGCGCTCTCGGAGCGTTCCGGAAGGCTCTGAGAAGGCCGCGACGCCCGAGATCCCCCAGAGCCGCCGAATCTCAGAGATTCTCGATTTATCTTCACCTGATTGTCTCTTCGCCCTGGCTTCGTCTTGAAGTCGCCTGAGTCGCAGCGGCCAGCCCGGATCAGCTGTTGATTGCATTCGAGATTGCATCAAGTGTGTTGGCGCAGTGTCTCCGTCGTTTGCAGGTTCTTTGGCCTACCCAAGGAGGCCGAGCGCGAGCTCGCGTGCGAGGCAGCCTGCCAGCTTTCATGACTCACAACTGGAGGGGGAGGAGGAGGAGGAGGAGGAGGAGGAGGAGGAGGAGGAAGAAGAAGAAGAAAACGAGGAGGAGGAGGAGGAGGAGGAGGTGGGAGGAGGAGGAGGAGGAGGAGGAGGAGGAGGAGGAGGCGGATGAGGAGGAGGAGGAGGAGGTGGCGGAGGGCTCGCTTGACCCACAAGTGCAAAGTGGTGGACCCTTGTCGGATGAGAGCCATTGCTGTATCATCTCACGGTGTCGCCAGCTGGTCGTGAAATCGTACACAAGCAGACCATGTGTTGTGTGTTGTCCCACGGACAATGTTGAGCGAACCGATCTAGCAGCCATGCCATGGAGACTAGCATCCCGATCTGTGCATCCCTCCCCCTGTCTGTTTCCCCCTGGCTATCGTTTCGGTTCCCTGCCTTACTTCCTCCCTCGCCTTCTCTCACCCTTCTCCCGCATCATATCTCCCTCCCCACCGCACGCTCTCGCTCTACCTCTCTCTCTCTTGTTCCCTTCCTCCCCACCCTCTCACTACATTCGTGCATTTGCATACCTAGTGGCCTGCGGCCCTTCTCGCCACAGTGCCTGGGGCGTTGACAAGAGGCCTCCGAGAAGCCTCTTGGGGGCCCTGGGGGCACCTCCTGGGGGCCTCGGGAGCCTCCCGAAAGGCATCCTGGGGGCCTCCTGGAGATCTCCTGGGAGCCTCTCCTTCAAGGGCTCCCCCGAGGGCGCGAAGTTATTCGCGCTTCGCGGTCCTCGTTTCTCCTCCCCCTCCTCCTCGTCCTCCTCTTCTCCCCCTTGGGGGGCGGCGCGAGAGCGCGAAGTTATTCGCGCTTCGCGCTTCGCGCAGCGCGAAGCGCGAACTTAGGAGCCCTTGCTTGGGCACTGCGCCCGGAAGTGTGCGGTCGCTTTTTCACAGCCCCGGGCCTCGCAGCCCTGCAGCCCAGGGCAGCCACGCGCGCCCACGGCCCCGCGGCCCGGGCAGTCGCGCAGTCGCAGAGGCCCTCTCGGCAGCACAGCACCCCTCAGGTGTTACGAGAGTAATTATCCTCCTCCTCCTCCTCCTGCTTCTCCTCCTCTTATTATTATTCCTCCTCCTCCTCCTCCTGCTTCTCCTCCTCTTATTTTTCTTCCTCCTCCTCCTCCTCATCCTCCTCCTCCTCCTCCTTCTCCTCCTCTTATTATTATTCCTCCTCCTCATCCTCCTTCTCCTCCTTCTCCTCCTCTTATTCTTAATTCCTCCTCCTCCTCCTCCTCTTATTCTTATTCCTCCTCCTCCTCCTTGCGCGGTTGTGCAGTTGTGGGGTTGCGGGGTTGTGCGGTGGTGGGGTTGCGGGGGTGCGGGGTTTGGGGTCGTGGGGGTCCTGGGCGGCGGGGCGCGAGGAGTTCGGTCGGGGGTCTCGGAGGCCGCGGGATCACAGGGGCTGTGGGATCCGGGGCTCCGGGAGGTGTCGGGTGTCTCAGGGCTGCGGGGCTGTGGGATTCCGGGCCTGGGTCGGAGGTCTCCGGGTTGGGTTTTTGTCGCAGGATGTCGGGCCCCAGGCGGCATGTGATATCTCAGGGCTGCGAGCGGGCGTCGTGCACGCCATGTGTTTCCTGAGGCCGTCTCGGGCCATGTCGGAAGCGTGCAACGTTCCCGAGGCCTTTTGGAAAGTCACGCGGTGGGGTAATCAAAAGTAACCATCGCCCGAGAGTGTCCAGAGCATCGGTGTCGGGGCCCCTTAGAGAGCACTTCCGATACCCAATACAGTACAGGGGCCTCGAATGGGACTTACGGGCACGGTATAGGATGCCCAGGGCCCCAAAAGCGGGCTTGGATCAGGAGGGGAGAAGCACACAGATACAATTAATCGTCGATCCCCAGGAGAGATGGGAAACTATGGTTAGTGGGGGGGATACGAAAACCCCGAAGATGTAAGGAAAATATGGAGAAGCTTGGGAGTTGTGTCTGTTCATTTGCGTGTCCCTGTGCCCCTTGATTGAGACCTGAATGGTGGGACCCACGGGTGACCTGGAGGGTTTCACGGCCTCCTGGGCCGGCCCCCGATCGCACCCAGGCTGCGCCAGAAAGCCCGAAGGCGGCGCGAGTTAGGCGACAACGGGTCCCAATGGGGGCCCCAAGGGCAGTTCGAACGCCTCCACGAGTCGCCCTAAGATGGGTCACGGGGGGGCCGAACAAGACCCCCAAGACGGGCACAAGATGCAACATCACGCGACCTGCAAATGCGATTGTCTGATTTTGCAGATCTTTGTAGATCTCCTTCTCCCGTCGAAAGAGCGCCTCAGACGGTCCAAGAGGCCCGCCCAATCGCCCCAAGACGTCCCACCTGGGCCCCAAGACGGCACCAGCACCAAGAGGGCCCCAAGACCGGCACCAAGGCAGACCAAGATGGGTTCAAAAAGATACCAAGGTGGCCCCAAGGGATTTGCCTATTTGCCCAGAGCGGTCCTGCATGGTCCGCAAGGGCCCCAAAGCGGCTGCAGAGGCCCCGAACGCAGCCCCGGGATGGGCCGGCACAAAAGCCATACACGGCGCCTCCAAGCAGCCCCACGAAGCAGCCCCCCCCAAGGGGCCCCCTCCGCACGCGTCCCCGTCGCTCCGCGAGCGCCCTGGTCCCCTCCCCTCGTCCGCGCACGTCCCTCGGATCGCCTTTCAGGAGTGCCCCCTCCTGCACGGAGGGGGCCTCGAGTTCCAGGTTTCAGGAGGGAAAGAAACACACAGACACAATGAATCGTCGATTCCCCAGAAAATAGATGAGAATATGGGAAGTGGGGGGAAGACAGAGGCCCCCAAAGAATTGGAACATATGGGGGAATATGTTTATTTGTGTGTATTTACTTGTGTGTGTCCTGGGGCCCCTTCAAGGCTGTTGCACGCCGAGCCAGCCTGGGACTTGACCAGCACTTATCACAGCGCTGGCCTTCCTCCGGGAGGCGGCGCCGCCCAACCCAGAGCGTGTGCCTTGGCAGACTCGTTTTGAGTCGGGCGTGTCCCCCTGCAGGGGGATTCTCGACGAAAACTTAAAGATACCCCCAAAACTACCTCGAAGAGGAAACACAATACTCGAACAATAGTCCCCAGGCTATGTTTGGACCATCGTTAGATTATTTGTTGGTGGTATTTTTTTCATTTTTTGTCGAAAATCTCCCCTGTAGGCGGACAGGCCCGACTTTAAGACTCGTTGACGTTTTAAAAAATGGAGCAGCCTTGCGGCGATGTTTGGCCACCTCGGGCGCTCCGACGACCCGCGGGGCGCGCTCGGCCCCGGGCCGGGGGGGCCGGGGGAGCCCCCTCGCGGGGCCGTCCCCCGACGTTCGCGAGAGGCCTGCGGTGGGAGCTCGTGGCACATCTCGCGGCAGGTCCCGGCCTGCTCCCCAATCGGAGCTTGCCTCTGCAGTCGGGGGCGGAGAAGAGGGGGGTGATGACCAGGGGGGGGTGGATATCATGGCGTGGGCCATGATGCTTCCCCAGATGTCATGCCCCCCCGCTGGGCCGCGCACATGCCGCCGGTCATGATTTGCACCCCCCCTCTTGGACACCCCCCTCTTGGCCGCTCCCGATGTAGGGGTCTTAGCGGGTTCATTCCCCAATCAGAGCTTGCCTCTGTAGGGGTCGTAGCGGCTTCATAAGGTTAGGTGGGCTGCGTCGCCGATTGTGGCAGCCCGCCCGGGTGCCTAGGTGCCCGCGTGCCCAGTAGCCCTATAGGCTTATAGTTTTGTATGTTTATAGCCCTACTAGCGCTATAGCCCAGTAGCCCTAGAGCCCTATAGCCTTATAGCCCTATAGCCATATAGCCCTACAGCCCTATAGCCCTATAGCCTAGCCCCATAGCCCTATACCCCTATACACCTATAGCCCCATAGCCGTATAGCCCTGAACATATTATGGTTTGTTTTTTCTCCGGTATCATTTGTGGATTCGAGCAGTGGCGAAGCGTCCCAGCTCGCCTATAGGCCTCCCAAAGAATGCTTTAAGAACCTTGTGTGGTCTGCACGAAATGTTATTAGTACATTTCTGACTGAGACTGCCTTGTTTTTACACATCGGGCGTATGTGCTAAGAACGTCGTGTTCGTTCTTACAACATTTGGGGGTTCTGAGAACATGTCGTGGTAGGCTTATGGGACTGCCGGGACGGTCGGTCCCTCCTCAATGGATGGCCCGGTCGGCCAAGTTCGGCCCCCGCCAGACTCCAGCCCTGCTTCTCCCCCCGACATCTCCGGGCACTGCCGGGCAGCCTTGGGGGGAGGGTCCTCGGCTCGCCTGCTTCGGGTCACCTTTGGGGGCTTCCTCGGGCGCTTTCCGGGGTGGCACCTCAGGGCGAAAAGCCCGGGCAGCCAAGAGGGAGAGGAGGAGGAGGTGGAGGAGAAGGAGGAGGAGGAGGAGTGGGGAGGAGGAGGAGGGGCGAGGAGGAGGAGGAGGAGGAGGAAGAGGGCATGGAACATACTATGTGCCTAGGCCTCCCAGTTGGGGTCCGAGTATGGGGGGTCGGAGGATCGCGCCGCATCGCCGACGCGGATCGATGTGCAGCCCGATGTTTTCAACGGCGACGGTGTCGATGCATCGCCGACAACGCCGATGCATCGGTGACGCATCGGCGATGCATCGGCGATGCGGCGTGATCCTCTGACCGCATCCACTCGGACCCCACTTCGGAGGCCTTCAATGTGTGTTGGGTCTGTGTCTGGCGTCCAGGTGCTGCTGAAGAATTCCTTAAAAGCGTTTCGAGGACATCTCGGGGCCACCACTTCCCTTCCTCGGGACGCGTCGGGGCCTCTGCAAGACACTTGAGCATTTTTGTTTGTGCCATATCGGTTCATGTTTCAGCCGTCTTGTGGCGGTCTTGAGCAGCCTTGGGGTCGTTCTGGGCTTAGGGAACGACAAGCGCGGCGAGGAGGGTATCGCCCTTCCTGGGAACTGCTGAAACTCACTGGGACCAGACAGCCACCAAGCATTTCAGCACGCCTCTACATGCCGCGGACACGGTGGCAGATTTGTGTGGTTTTCGTGTCCGCGGTTTGCCCGTCTACCCCAGCGCCATGCGCGTGATCGGGCAAGCTCTGCTCTGATTTCCCTGAGCCTGGACAGGACTGTCACTACGGCCGCGACTGCGTGAACCTGCTCGGAGCAGGCCCCGCCAGGGGGAAGGGGAGTGAGCAGCTTCGCGCACTACTCAGAGGGTCGCCAAGCTGAGTTCTTGATCAGATCCGCCAGACTCCGCCAGCGTTCAGCACGCAGGATATGCCCACACATTTGCGCAACAGCGTGCTTCCCTTCGGCACTGGTCGAGAGCTGCAGTTGTGTTCCCTGTTTCTCCAATAACGTGTGAATTAGTGTTTGTTCATGTGTGTGTGTTGTGTGTCTGTGTCTGTGTCTGTGTGTGCGTGTCTGTGTGTGTGAGAGTGTGTGTGTGTGTGGCCGGTGTTTCGTCTACTCATCGCCCCTCCCCGCCATCCAGGCCCGGATGATTGTGGCTGCTGCCAGCTGAGAGACCGCAGCAAGCGGTCTCTGAGAGCTCGGCCAGGCGTAGACGCGCGCGCTCCACTGCCTGCACTCGACGATTTACGCCCCGTCGCCGCGGGCGGGGCCGCGACGCCACAAACGTGTGTGTGTGTGTGTGTGTGTGTGTGTGTGTGTGTGTGTGTGTGTGTGTGTGTGTGTGTGTGTGTGTGTGTGTGTGTGTGTGTGTATGTGTGTGCGTGCGTGCATGCGTCTGTGCGTGCGTGCTTTCGTGCGTGCGTGTGTGCGTGTGTGTGTGTGTGTGCGTGTGTGAGTGAGTGCTAGTGCGAGTGTGAGTGTGTGTGTGTGTCTGCGTCTGTGTCTGTGTCTGCGTCTTTGTCTGTGTCTGTGTCTATGTATGTGTCTGCGTCTGTGCCTGTGTCTGTGTCTGCGTGTGTCTCTGTTGTTGTTGTTGTTGTTGTTGTTGTTGTTGGTGTTGTTGCTGTTGTTGTTGTGTTGTTGTGTTAGAGTGTTGCGTGTTGTGTGTTACGTGTGTGGTGTGTGTGTGTTGTGCGGTGTGTGTGTGTGTTGTGTGTTGTGTGCTGTGTGTTGTGTGTGTGTGTTGTGTGTGTGATGTTGTGTGTGGTGTGTGGTGTGTGGTGTGTGTGTGTGTTGTGTGTGTGTTGTTTAGTGTGTGGTGTGTGGTGTGTGGTTCGTGGTGTGTGGTGCGTGGTGCGTGGTGCGTGGTGCGTGATGCGTGGTGTGCGGTGTGTGGTGTGTGGTGTGTGTGGTGCGCGGTGCGTGGTGTAGTGTTGTGGTGTTGTGGTGTGGTGTGGTGTAGGTGTGTGTCTGTGTGTGTGTCTGTGTGTCTGTGCGTTTGTGTGTCTGTGTGTCTCTGTCTCCGTCTCTGTCTCTGTTTCTGGATGCGCCCCCCGCTTCTGCACGCCTGCGGGCCGGGTTTACCGCTTGCTGTATGATGTTCCAACTTTCTGTAGCATGGATCACCAGAAAGAATTTCGAGCACCAAGAAAGTCCCGAAACTCGATGGTGTTCACGTATCGGGCCCTGGGATGCGATGCTCGTTCGACACTGTTTCTGCATTCTTCTGGATGCTCGACATTGTTTGGGGGCTGTGGTCCTTAAGCACGATGGGGGTAGCATAACGCTTGCCGTGAGGTCAGATATTGCGCATCCCACCCCAGCTTTCGCGACATCGGGGCAAGTCGCCCGGGGGGGGGGGGAGGTCGCCCCCCGCCGCGCACCGCCTTCCTTCACCCCCCCCGTCCCCGCGGCCCCGGCCGCCCGCTCCAGCCGTGGCTGCCCTTGGCTCTTGCTGCCGCTTGCCCGCCCTGCCCTGCCTCGCAGCCCCGCCGGCTGCCCCCGCCACCGTGTCCCACCTCTCGGGGCTGCAGAGATGAGGCCCTGTGGGATGGCGCCCCCGTCTCAGGGCGCGCTATTCGATCCGATTCGGCTTCGATGGCTTCCGATTCCGGTTCGGTTCGATTTGGGCATCCGTTTGGGGCTCCGAGTTGTCCATGGGGGCCTGCTAGCCTGCCGATTCCCGCCCGTTCGATGTTCCCCGACGCGGCTGCCGATGTCCGCCGATCCGATGCATGTCGATCGCCGGTTCGACTCATCGATTCGGTTCTGGGCTCCCCTGCCCCATCTCGAAGAGCGCAGCACGGCACGAGCAGCATGTCGTTGAGGCCCGCGCGGAGTTTTCTGGATCGGCGTTGGCCCTAACCCTGGTGTCGCCTCGGGCGCCCTTAGCGTGCAAGCGGCCAGTGCTGCCCTTCCCAGATTGCCTCCCCCAGCCCCCACAGATTGCGAGCGGCTGGTGCTGGCCTTCCTTGCGCGGGCTGCGTCGTGCCGAAGGGCCCTGGCGAACATCCACACGTCGGCGCCAACGCGCGTTCTGCGAATCATCGGCCGTCGCTCCCGCCGGGCTCGGTCGCACTCGTCGCGACTGTCTCCACGAAGAGGGCGGTCGTGGGTCGTCTGGTGGCCCGGCGCCTGGGAGTCTGCGCAGCGCGAGGGGCTCCGCCCTCCCCTGTCTGCCGCCTCCCCCTTCTTCTTCCCGTGCCCCGCCCCTGGGGGCGGGGACGAGCGGAGGACCCGCCATACCCAGGCCTGCAAGCAGGCATGCCGCCCCAGGGTCTTGGCACCGCTCGGGCGTGCGTGCACCTTTTTTTCTCGGCGGGGGTTCTTAAGGAGGAGCCTTCTCGGCCACCCTGCGAAAAAAGCCACGCACGAAGCCGAACAACAAAAAAACACAGGGAATGGACTTCCGAGCGACGGCCAGGGCAGGAGGGGAAAAAACACACAGACACAATGAATCGTCGATCCCCCAGAAAATAATGGAAAATATGGGAAGTGGGGGGGAATACAAAAACCCGAAAATATGGGAAAAGATGGGGAATAGTTTTTTGTGTGTATTTATTTGCGCGCCCTGGGGCCCCTTCAAGGGGAGAGGCACCCGCTCGCCCCTGCCATCATTCACCTCCCCCGCTCGGCGCCAAGGGCGGGCGTGGATCCGATGCGCCAGCCTCCGCCCCGCTCAGTGCACGCTGCCTTGGAAGCGTGCCCCGGGCCTCTCGGTAAGCATGCGCCTGCGGTGTGCCGGTGGTGTTCGGGCAGCGGCCCCAGAGGGGGCGCAGCTTGCAGAGCCGCCGAGTGCTCTGCCGCCCCTGCCTTTCGATTAGACTTGGCCACGCGCACAAGGGGGTAGGGGGAGGGGGAAGGCTTCTTAGAAGCACCCCTGCTTCTTAGAAGGCGCGGGCCTTCTTTGTAGATGTAAGGCCGGCGCCTTCTAAGAAGCAGCCTCCTTCTAAGAAGCCTTCCCCCCTCCCCCTACCCCCTTGTGCGCGCCGCCAATTGACGTAAGAGTGACCTTTCGCCGGAGTGACCTTTGGTGTGGGCCCAGTGGGGTCCTCCGACTGCTGAGCGCGAAGCGGGAGCAGCGGCTGGCGCACCCAGCACTGGCCACCCCGCGTCCGCCCGTGGAGTCGCGCACCAAAGGTCGCTCTTGCCCCGGGTCGCTCTTGCGTGTGGCCGAGCCTTCCCTGGCAGCCGTGGCCCGATCGGAGAGGCAGCCGAGCAGCGCAGGGGGTTCGTTCGAGGCAGGGCCGTGCTCCTCCTCGCTCCCGTCACAGCACGCGTGCCCTCCCCCGCGCGCGCGCGCGCTTGGGCGCTTGGCCTGCGCAGCGGGCACTGCTCGCATGACCGTCGTGGGCGCGGCGTCGCAAGCTCGGCTTGCCGTTCCTCCCCGGTGCAGGCATCCAGATGGCCGACCGCGTGCTGACCGTGTCGCCGAACTACGCGAGGGAGATCCAGACAGCCGTGGGTGCGAGCCTCGTCAGCGGAGCGTGGCGTGGAGAGGGTGGGCGATCGCGCGGCCCGTCTTGGCAGGGTCGTTTCCACGAGGGGCTCGCATCTTCTTCCAGTTGGAAGACCAGTGCAGCTCTCCACAGAAGCTGTGCAGAGGCGATCCGACGTCGGTCCCCTCGGGCTTCAATCGCAGCACCAGTTTCCTTGTATCATGGGGGGGTCCTCGCGAGGCGCGCTTAGTGTCTTCTGATGGGGAAGGCGAATGAAGAGGAGGACGAGGAGGAGCAGGAGGAGGAGGAAAGGGGAGGAGGGAGGAGGAGGAGGAGGAGGAGGAGGAGGAGGAGGAGGAGGAGGAGGAGATGGGCTCGAGCGTTTCGATCTCCTGTTGCTGCGTTTAGGGCGTCCCAGTCGTCCCCGCTCGCCTCGCTCGTCCTCCAGCAGGCGGTCGAGGCGGCGGCGTCGAAGAGGGTTGGGTGGTGCTTCCGTTGTCCGCCATCGCAGCCCTCTTTCCACACTCCTCTGCGCCTGTCGCCACCGCGTGGAAGAGTTGCGCGCCCGCTTCCTGGCCTGCGCGCAGCTGCGTGCTGGCCCGCGGGCGCCGCCAGCGGAGTGGCGCCCCACAGCGTGCCGAGGAGAAGAGGAAGTGGGAGTGCGGGGAGGTCTTGGATCGAGTTGGCAGGCACCACGCGCAGCAACGGACAACGTCTTGTCGGGCCGAGGCGACTTGGCCGTACGCCTCCCGCGCTCGAAGGTAAAACAAACAAGCGCCAGGGATTAGTAGAGCGAGTCGAGTCCTAGATCATCGTAAGAGGGCCGTGGCAGCGAAAAGCGACGGAGCTCAGCGATCGTGAACGGCATTGTGGTGTAAAACCCCACGCCGCAGGACCCGGTGAGGAGGGGGAGGGGAGTGTCAACACCCATTCCAGAGGCTGCGTTTCTCCAGTCTGAAGTAGATCATTGATTGCGCATGTGTGTATTACCCCGCCTTGCAGCATCGAAAACCCGACAGGGTGAGAACGGTAAAATCATTGAAAAGTCGAAGGTGATTCAATGATTGTTGCCCTCTTGGGGCGTCTGAGGGGCCTCTTGGGCCGTCTGGAGGATATCGTGGGCCGTCTTGGGGCCATCTAGGTCATGTGTGAGGCGTTATGGGATCGTCCTGGAGGTCATCTTGGGCCATCTTGGAGGCGTCTTGGGATCGTCTTGGAGGCATTGTGGTGGCCATCGTGGGCCATCTGGGCCGTCTTGGGGGACGTCGTTGGAAGGTGAGCTCTCTTGCGCGGCTCTTTGGGTGGCCAGCGGTTGGGCCGAAGGCAGGAGGACCAACAATTACCGAGCATCAAACACGCCGTGCACCCGTGGCAACCCACAAGGGGCGGCGGATCGCAATGGCCTTAGGATTGTGGGTCAGCGGCAACGTTAGGAGTGGCTAGTCGGCAACGAGCGAGGGGGGGAAGTGAGAAAGAGAAGGCCGTCTCAGAAGGTTCGGAAGTCCCCAGGCCTTCTCAGAAGTGTTCTAAGCCTTCCCCGAAGACAGAACAACTGCTTAGAAGGCGCGAGGGCTTCTGAGAAATCCCGCCGCCTTCTGGGAAGACCTTCTCCTTCTGAGTTCCCCCCCATCGCTCGCCGCCGAGTTAGAGGCCCAGATGCGGCCTGCACTTCCATGTTCAAGTTGGGCCGCGCTCCGCCCCCCCCTCCCTCCCCGACCGTAATCAAGTGTCGCTTGCATCTCATAGATTTGATCTGCGTCTGGATTCCCGGATGGCTGGCAGCTGCGCAGAATCAGGATGCATGCGCATGGCATTTGCCGCGTGCTGCGCAGTTCAGGGTGCGCGCGTACATAGTCACAGGGATGTTGCCGAAATGTGCGTTGCATACCCGCTCAATATGTTCGTAACCTTTCAGGCCCAGCAGTGCTTCGCTGACCGAGCACTTGTAATACGCACGTCGACACAGCTGGCTGTTATTCAGACGAGCCTGCCAGCACTCCAGAGGTCATTATAGAAATCAAACGAAAACGCACGCATGCTGAGGCACCGCGGGACGAATATCCAACCAAATACTTCGTCTTCGCACATAGGCTCAAGTGTTTATACGCCCAGAACTCACGACAACAGGGGATGATGCCGAATTCGATAACGACTCCAAACATGATCATATGTTGTCTTGGGTATTGCCCAATTCAGATGGAGCCTAGCAGCCGCGTCAGAGAAAGAGACCAGACATGATCTTTCTACGCCCATAGGAGGCACAGCCACCGGGTGCTTACAGCACAAGCAGTACAAAACATAACTAAACGGTGTAATGTTGACGCTTGAGATTTAGGACACGTCCGGTTGCCTGTTTGTTAGCGAAACCAGTATTTCTTCATCTGTATCGTCCTTCCTCCCCCATCGGACTTGTTTGGTCGACGTTGTGCGTACAGGGGGTCAGTCGAATTTGGCTCATGTTGTTGCGGTTCTGGTGGACCCGACGTCACGCTGCACGTGCACGAGCGCAAAAACAAAGATTGTATGTTCACCCTACCGGCCCTCAAAGCGTAAGCCTGACGAGCGTGACCCTTCACAGTGCGCCCCTTATCTCAAACACGAGGGCGCGGGTTCATTTCCCAAAAGGTTGTGTGTACCTCAGGGGGTGGTCGCAAGTTTGTCCCTGGCCAGTTAGGGGGGATGGGCTCAAGGGGGATGGGCTCGAGGAGCTTGTGCGTTTAAATAGGTTATCAGCGGCTTCCCAGCCTCGAGATTATCTTCAGCAGCTGCGCTTCGCCGAGAGGCGCTCGGGGGTGCCCAGATCGTCCCGAACGGCCGCTGGAGAGCCGAGCTATGGTCCGAAAACCAGGGGGCAACGTTAGGGGCGGTAGGCTCAGGCGGGATCGCATCGACCCCGAATCCTTCATGGATCGTCGATAGGGTTCTGATAGCCCCACCCCGCCCAGGAACGTGCGGAATCGCTAGTGGGGGCCTATCGCTGGCAGGTCGGCGACCTACCACCGATTCCAGCTCGATGCTTCCCCCCGGAGCCGGTCCCCCCTGTCGTTGCTCCTCAGTCAGTGTCCTCGGGGCCGCTAGTTGGGGTCTTTGGAACGCCTTTGGGGGGCCTCTTGGACGCAGTGTTGATGCCTCGTGGACCTTGGAGTCCGCTCTGGGGCCCCTTGTGAACCTCTTTGCGGCCCTGTGGGACCTCTCGGTAGCCTGCTGGCGGTATCAAGGGCTCTCTTGGGGCGCAGGGCGCGTAGTCCCCGCTTGGGCCCGAAGCAGTCAAGCGGGAAGCCGCGACAAGGCTTGGAGAGCCGCGACACGCACCAAGAAAGTTTAGAAATTTGAGGTTTGCGTCATGACAAAGAGTTCGCAGGATTCGGGACTGGGGCTCCAGGGATTGAGCCGGGGGGCTGAGAGCACTCCAACTCGTGTTCGAGGCACGGTCTCATGTTGTCCTGTTGCGGAGAGGGATGGGCAGGGGAGGGGTGGAGAGACTCCAAGCAGTGGCGAAGCGTCCTGGCTCGCCTATAGCCCTACCAAACAATGTTCTAAGAACCTTTCGTGGTTTCCACGAAATGTTCTTAGAACATTTCTGTTTTTAATTGGTTTGTTCTAACACATTGGGTGTATGTTCTAAGAACATTGTTTTTGTTCTTAGAACATTTTTGGGTTCTAGGAACATTTCGTGGTAGGACTATAGGAATGCCGGGACGGTCGGTCCCTGCTCAAAGACTGGAGGAATGGGGACGGGGACAGAACGTCTGGCCCCAAACATCAGTCCACGACTTCGACGACCCCCAAAGCCCCACGGCATGTCCACCCTTCAGAGGGCCCTGGAAGGGGCGAGCAAAAAAACAGCGAGACCTCTGGGGGCTTCGCGGAGGCTTCCGCGGGCCCACGGGGCCACAGAACGCCGAGACGCCTCGAAGCTCGAACCCCGACGCCAGCGACGATGACGACAACGACGACGACGATGACGACGACGACGACGACGACGACGACGACGACGACGACGACGTTCACGACGACGACGAGAACGACGACAACGGCGGAGGCGGCGGCGGCGGCGGCGGTGGCGACGACGACGACGACGACGACGGCGACCACGAACACGACCACGACCACGACCACGACGGCGACAGTGGCGGCGGCGACGACGACGACGACGGCTTCGGGACGAGCTGTCTCCTCTCGACCGCCGAGGTGGGCTCGGCCTGGACCACGCCCTGCGGGAGAAGAGCGGCCAGAGGCGGCTCGAGGGTACCCCCCCTCCGCCTCCCATCGGCCCTCGAGGAGGGGCGATGGGTATGATGTTCCAACCTACTTTAGCCTTGACCACCAGAAAGAATATCGAGCACCAGACAAGTACCGAAACTCGAGAGTTCTCACGTGTCGGGCCCTGGGAGACACTCGTCCGACACAGTTTCGACATTGTTTCGACACTTTTCCGGGTGCTCGAAATTATGTATGGGATGCGGTCCTTAAGTTCGATGGGAGCAACATGAGGCGAGAGGTGGAGGAGCAAGGGGGATCAGTCGCGAGCGGCGAACACTTTCGTATCGGCGCCCTCACGGTTTGGATGATTGGAGCGTTTTCCCGCGGTTGTTCGGTCGCACGGATGCGTTGCGCGTGAGGCATCCGCACAAACCGCCCCGTATCCACGGGGTCGCGACCACCAGCATGCGAGGCCATGGATAGGGATGTGTTTTTCGCCCGCGGACTTGAGGCTAGAGCAGAACCCAGGACCGCATCAACGATTCTACAACGCAGCCTCCCTCCCCAAAGTCCCCTTTCCATTCAGGTCGCGGCCAGACCCACGAAGGTGTTGAGTAGGCTGCTGGTGCAAAGCATTGAGAATGGATGGCATCGATACCCGTTGATGGACCGCGTCTTCGCCATCCACGTGCTGGCGGCGCGCCGAGGGGGGGGAGCAGTCGAGAGGGGAGGTTCGACACTTCGTCGGTCTCCGATGGTGCTTCCTTGCCTCGCTCTGCCTCCCAGCGGCTGCGCCTCGCCGAGAGCGCTCAGTGGGCGTGCCCGGACCCTCCCGAGCGGCCGCCAGAGGCTCGAGCTGTGGCCCGGAGCCGCCAGCAGCGGAGACGCGCCGAGGGGGGCAGAGAAGGGGAAAAAACACACAGACACAATGGATCGTCGATCCCCAGGAAAATATTGGAAAAGATGGGGAAATATGGGGGGAAGACAAGAACCCAGAAAAAATATGGGGAAATCGTGGGAGTCCTGTTATTTGTGTGTGTATTTGGGGGCCCGCCACCCCGGAGGGCGGCGGGGCCCCTCGGAAGCCCTCCGGCCTTCCGAGGTGGCCTTCCGTTGCCTCGGAGATCGCCACGAGCGAAGTGTGTACAGTCGGCCCGGATTAGTAGGTCGACCCTGAGACATTTCCTGAGAGCCTCCCATGTCGTCTTGCTGACTTGTGCGAATCGGCGCTACAGTCGGCACTGATTAGTATCGGGGGTGGACAGACCTCCTACCCTGACACGTCGATTAGTGAATTGGCCGTTTTCGGTTCGCGAGAGGGCGTCGCGGCCGTCATTTTTGCGGGTCCAGGTCCGTCGGTTTCGGTCCCGGGCCGTTTTCACTAAAGGGAGGTTTACTAAAGGGAGGTTTGTCCACCGCCGATCAGTTCGGGGGCGGCAAAGAGGGGTTGATGACTAGGGGGGGTGGATATCATGGCGGGGGCCATGATATTTCTCCAGGTTTCATGGCGCCTCTTCTCATTTCATTACGTCACTGGCCCCCCCGCTGGGCCGCGCACATGCCGCCCGTCATGATTTGCACCCCCCTCTTGGACACCCCCCTCTTGGCCGCTCCCGATTAGTAGGTCGACCCTGCCAAATCAAGCGTACCCGTGTGTCCTGTGTCTCGCGACCCGTGCCTCCTGCATTCCTGTGGCGATGTGGCCCTCGGAAGGGTCTGGTGTCCTCTCGCGTGTCCTGTCCAATCAAGGCCGACTGCTGTACGGAAAGAGTGGGCAGGATGCCCCACAGCAGCTCCTGCTCACTCTGAACAAGACTCGCTGCCCGCGCCGCCGCGGGCGCTGTTCTCTGAAGACAAGAAGCCGCGCCTGCCTATCAGCGGCCGCTGTCGGTTTGAGACAACGTTTGTTGTTGGGCATTTTACAAATTTTCTCCGTACAGTTGGCCCGGATTAGCAGGTCGACCTTGCCACAACAAAAGGGTACCTTCCTTTCCTGTGTCTCGCGACCCATGCCTCTTGCATTCCTGTGGCGACGTGGCCCTCGGAGAGGTCTTGTGTCCTGTCGCGCGTCCTGTCCAATCGAGTCCGACTGTACTCATTTCGGGCGTCCAGAGGGGAGGGCCTAGCAGTGTAGGCTTCTCGGGAGGCAAGAGGCCCTTCGGAGCCTCTAAACACAGGCCCGCCGCCCCTACACTGCCCCCCTGAGCGCGCCGCCTGGTTTCGGTGACAACTCCTGAGAGCCTCCCGTGTCGTCTTGCTGGCTTGTGCGAATCGGCGCTACAATCGGCCCTGATTAGTATCGGGGGTGGACAGACCTGCTACCCTGACGGTTCGCGAGAGGGCGTCGCGGCCGTCATTTTGCGGGTTCAGGTCTGTCGGTTTCGGTCCCAGGCCGTTTTCATTAAAGAGAGGTTTACTAAAGGGAGGTTTGTCCACCGCCGATAGTAGGTCGACCCTCCCAAATCAAGAGTACCCTTGTGTCCTGTATCTCGCGACCCATGCCTCATGCATTCCTATGGCAATGTGGCCCTTGGAAGGGTCTTGTGTCCTCTCGCTCGTCCTGTCCAATCAAGTCCGACTGAAACTGTCGCTAAGTCGACGCTGACCGACGCGAAATCGGCGCTCTCTCAGCGATGGCCAGGACGCTGACCGACGCGAAATCGGCGCTCTCTCAGCGATGGCCAGGTCTTGTTGAAAAGCAACAGCCGAAAGGTGCTGGTCGTCCCCGTACTAACTTAGCGCCGCCCCATCGTGTGCAAAGCGGGCATGGTGCCTCTCCCTTACATGGCGCTGTTGGTCGCAGTTGGGCGCTACTTGAGCGCTATTCGGCGCCATTGGGCGCTGTTTGGCGCCGTTGAGCGCTATTGGGCATCATCCGACAATACACCTCCAATCCTGGACAAGCGGAAGCTTCGGTGATCCTATTGAGTCTTTGCAGCGTTTGCAGCTGCTGCCGTCCTGGGCCCACGCGTCGGCGTCGTTCAGACATCCTTAAAAGGTCTATGTAGGTGCGTGCGTGTGTGTTTGTGTGCTTGTGTGTTTGTGTGCTTGTGTGGTCCTGTGTCTGTGTGTATGTGTGCTTGTGTGTGCTTGTGTGTTTGTGTGTGTGCGTCGCCACGACAGGGGCGACGCGCGCGCTCGAACACCTCGATAGCACGTGCCCCGTGGCGGGCGGCGTCGAACATCTGTAAGTCTGGTGTGCTACATGGTGCAGTCGGGCACGCGCCTCCCAGGAGGTCGCGCGGTGTACCAGCAAAATCACGCCCTCCTCGGTCCCAGCGCGCGCCGCCGCCGCCGCCTCGCGAGGAACCGAGACCCCCCCGCCGCACACCCCGCACGGCGCCGGCCGTGGCGCGTTGCGCGAGCCATGGGCGGAAAGAAGAGCTACCAGAACTATGGAAAGACGTTCCGTAAGCCGAAGCGCCCCTTCGAGAAGGAGGCTCGCCCCTTCTGCCCCCTGCAGGAGGAGGGGGAAGGGGAGGGACAGGAGGAGGGGGCGAGGAGGAGAAGGGGGGGAGGAGGAGGAGGAGGAGGAGGAGGAGGAGGAGGAGGAGGAGGAGGAGGAGGAGGAGGAGGAGGAGGAGGAGGAGGGGGGGACGTGCCCGATCTGGCCGCCGAGGGACCCACGGCCAGCACGGGCCCCTGCCGTGCGGGGCGCGCGGGCGTCCGGGCCGGGCGCGGCGTCCGGGCCGGCGCGGCGCGGAGGCGGCCGCGCAGCGGGAGTCGCGAGGGCGCGGTGCGCCAAGCTTCTACTCAGCAAGGGCTCCCTCGAGGGCGCGAAGTTATTCGCGCTTCGCGCTTCGCGGTCCTCGTTCCTCCTCCCCCTCCTCCTCGTCCTCCTTTTCTCCCTTTGGGGGGGGCGGCGCGAGAGCGCGAAGTTATTCGCGCTTCGCGCTTCGCGCAGCGCGAAGCGCGAAGTTGGGAGCCCTAGAGGAGGGGAAAAAACACACAGACACAATGAATCGTCGATTCCCAGGAAAACATGGGAAAGTACGGGAAGAGGGGGGGAGACGAAGGCCAAGAGCAGATGAGACATGATGAGGGATCTTTTTTTGTTTGTGTGTATTTGTTTGTGTGTCCCAGGGCCCCTTCATTTACGTTGAAGTCGGGCGTGTCCCCCTGCAGGGGGAGCTTCGACGAAAAATAGAAAATACCCCAAAAATACAACAAGGAGATCCAAAAATAATCAAAAAATAGTCCCCAGACTATGTTTGGACTATTTTTGCATTATTTTTGGCGTATTTTTTATTTTCGTCGAAAATGCCCCTGTAGGGGGACAGGCCCGACTTCACTTTACGTCGGGCGTGCTCCTACAGGAGAAATGTTCCAACATAGTTTTAAAAAATAGTCTGGGGACGAGCTTGCCAGTTCGGACTCTTGTTCGAGTATCGTCTCGAGCTGCCGTCCAAAATCCGCCTCTACAGGAGGAACATTCAAACATTCGAGGCCCCCTAGATGGGGTCGGAGTAGATGGGGTCGAAAGGTCGCGCCGTATCGTCGATGCGTCGGCGATGCGCCTCGATGTGGAGCCGATATTCTCCACGATGGCGTCGCCGATGCATCGCGCCGACGTCGCTGATGTATTGGCGATGCGGCGCGATCCTCCGACCCCATCTACTCCGACAACATCTAGGAGACATCTACACATAAGTTTGAAACATAGTCTGGGGACGAGTTTGCCAGTTCTGACTCTTGTTCGAGTACCGACTTGAGTTGTCGTCCAACATCCGCCTGCAGGAGGACATTCCCGACCGAAGCCAAGCTAGGCTAGATGAAGCTTGCCGAGGCGAGGCCCGCAGTCGCCTTGCGCGAGGCGGCTGCCGCGAGCTCTGCTCGCCAGGGAGGTAGCTGCCCGAGGGTGAAGATGCTGATGTTGCTGCTGCTGATACTGGTTATGATGCTGATTATGACAATGATGCTGATGATGATCATGGTGATGCTGATGCTGATGCTGATGCTGATGCGGCTGATGATTATGATGATGACGATGATGATGATGATGATGAGGAGGAGGAGGAGGAGGAGGAGGAGAAGGAGGAGGAGGAGATGCAGTAGATTAGGAAGACGGAGAAGATGAGGAATATGGAGGAGCGAAGGCCGGAGGAGCGAAGGTCCCCACTTGAGGGCGGCCGTGCCTCCCGTCCGGGTGGGGGGCCTGCCGACGGCAACACAAAGAGCATTGCCGAGGCATCCCCATCCCATCCTCATCCTCATCCCTCCCTTCCTCCCTCCCTACCTCTCTCCTCCCTCCCTCCTCCCTCCTCCCTCCCTCCCTCCCTCCCTCCTCCCTCCTCCCTTTCTCCCTCCTCCCTCCCTCCCTCCCTCCCTCTCTCCCTCCTCCCCTCTCCCTCCCTCCCTCCCTCCCTCCCTACCTCCTGCCCGGCGCCGCGGCGCTTCTGGCCTCGGCTTGCCGACCCCACGACCCCATCTGCCAGCGGCCCAGAATCGGCCAGTGTGGCACAGTCTAACGATCAGAAAAGCAGCCGATCGTTCACGGTTGAACGATACGCGCGGTGTCAGGCACTGGTGCCGGGGTCGTCGCCACACGTCCGTACCTAGTTCTTTTTCGATCCGATCGATGAGATTCGATGTCGGTCCCGCCCAACCAGATTTGATTCGATCCCAATATTCTGGCGACCCGATGCGGCCCAATGCTTGCATGGCGCTGTTGTGCACCCTTGCGCAGCTGATGCGATTCGATTCCGATTCCGTGTCGATGCCCTCGATCCGACGGACGTTCCGATCCGATCCCATACCCTGACTCGACGCAATTCGATCCTACAGTCGGGACCCTGGAGAAGGAACCCTTTTGGTTGGGGAGGGGCTCCGCGTTCCTTAAGTGTTTCACAGCCTGCCGCAGGTTTTCCTTATGTTTTCGATAGGAAATCGAAGTCTAACTTATGGAAAAAAGGGGCCTCGTTCCTTATTTAGGGTTCCTTAGGCCAACGCCCCGACTGTACCTTTGGGCGGCCGTGCAGCGCCTGGACTCGGAGATGAAGATCGTGGGCGAGTACGGCCTGAAGAACAAGCGCGAGGTGTGGCGCGTGCAGTACGCCCTGGCCAAGGCCCTGCGCCGGGCGACTCTGGTCTCCCCTGTCCCCTGTCCTCCTCCTCCTCCTCCTCCTCCTCCTCCTCTCCTCCTCCTCCCCTCCTCCTCCTCCTCCCCCTCCTCCTCCTCCTCCTCTCCTCCTCCTCCTCCTCCTCCTCCTCCTCCTCCTCCTCCTCCTCCTCCCTCCTCCCTCCTCCCTCCTCCCTCCTCCCTTCTCCCTTCTCCCGTCTCCCTCCTCTGTGCCCCGTTCTTCTCGAGGAAGAGGCAGCTGCATATAGTTGGCTCTGGGAAGACATCGAATGGCACAATGAGTTGGCACAACATCAGTGGTTCGACATACACGTTGGCAGGCCCGCGCGTATTTCTAGCCTCTGCGCCCCCACCTCCTGGCGGCGCCTCCTGCGCCGAACCTGGCGCACTCCGCGCGCCAGGGAGTGGGGATCCAGCCAGATGCAGGCGCTACCCTTGAGTGTTTTGTGCGTGTTTCTGGGCCCCCCAGATGGGGTCGGAGTAGATGGGGTCAGAGGATCGCGCCTCATCGCCGATGCGGGAAGAGGAGCAGGTGGCCTCCCCCCGGCACTTCCCTTCGCGGAAGAAGCTTCTGCATGCGGACTGGCGTTGGGAAGGTAGCGGGCGAGTTGACGCTGCCGGCCCACTTCTCATAAGCAGCCCCCTTTTCTCGGGACGATCGGGAACGGTACGGAAAGAAGGGGTACGATGCCCAACAGCAGCTCCTGTTCGTTTTGAACAAGGCTCGCTGTCTGCGCTGCCGCTCACGTTGCTCACTGAAGACACAAGGCCGCCTGCCAAACAGCGGCCGCTGCCTGTTTGGGGACACCATGTTTTGTTGGGCAGTTTACTCATCTGTCGCGTGTGCATTCTGGGCGTCCATTTTTTTCTTGGGGCAGCGCGCACCGACGAAGCCCCTGCGTTGTGGGACGGCCCGGTGACCTTTCCCCGCCTTCTCGTCTTCGAGGAAGAGGCAGCCGCATGCGGTTGGCGCTGGGAAGGTCGCAGGCGACGTGGCGCCGCGGGCCCGCGTCTCGCACGCGGGTCCCCCCCCCCTCTCTTGGGCACGGCGCGCACCGAAGAAGCCCCGGCGGGGCGACAGCGTGCACAGGGGGGGCCCTCGCGGAGGGACCGCCTCACGGGGATATCGGGACGGACGAAAGGGGGGGGGTGGGAAAGGGGGGGTTACGAAATTTGTTGCATGCAGCTGGTTTCGGCCTCACCGAGGGGCCCATTCCTCGATACATGGCATGGGCGCCTCCGGCGCCGGGAAGCGCCGGAAAAAATCAGCTACGTGAGCTGATTCTCAAACCCCCCCTTTGCTATCCCCCCCTTTCGCCCGGCCCGAGGATAGCGTGCTTCTCGGAGATCCATGCTGAACGCTATCTTTCGGATGCCAGCCGGAGGTGAGCATGAGCCAGGCGAAGATCCCAGCCATCTTCAGTTGTGAGCACCGCGTTGTGGGGCCGTTGTCGGTGGAACCCCCCACGAGGCCACGAAACGCGTGAGGGGTGTGCCGTAATGGGTAGGAGAGACGCGTGCGACCACGGACATTGGGGTCTTCGGTGGAGCTTCCTACGGAGCCACGAAGCGCTGTACTGGATGAGGGAACCGCATGGCAACGTCGCTTCTGGGGCTCTCGGTGGAGGTCCCTATGGGGCCACGACCGCTGCACTGGGGTGGGGGACCCGCATGCGAACGTCGGTCGCCTCTGGGGCCCTCGCTGGAGCCCCCCATGGGGCCACGAAACGTTGCAGTGGGTGTGGGAGCCGCATGCGAACGTCGCCTCTGGGGCCTCCGTGGAGCTCCCTCTGGAGCCACGAAACGTTATACTGGGTGTGCCGCAAGGATTGACATGCGGAGGAAGAGGAGTGGTGGGGAGCAGGAACTCGGGCGCTATCATGTCAAAGCGAGGACCCAACACCACAGGATGGTTGGTAACTTTTGGGGTCCGCGCAAATATCTTGGATCGGCGCCTGCCCCTCCTTCCCTTGCGTGCTTCGAGCAACAGGGACAATGTTCAGAGCAGATCCAAGAATTCCGCGCGGACCTTCGACTGTTTCATTATGTTTACGTAGATGTTTCATCTTATCCTTGGGCTGAACGCCTTCCGCTGCCCCTCGACTCACGCTGGAGGTTCCGCAATTTCTCCACATTAATACTGATATGTAGCACCCCGCAGTTGCGGATAAGAGTGAGGGGACGGGCGCGGGTTGGGTCGCGGGTGTGTCGCGGGTGGATCCCGGGGTGGATCGCGGGGAGGGGCGCGGGTGGGTCGCGGGGTGGGTCGCGGGTGGATCGCGGGTGGGTCGCGGGTAGGTCACCGGCTGGGTCGCGGGTAGGTCACCGGCTGGGTCGCGGGTAGGTCACCGGCCGGGTCACGAGTGGGACGACGACAACAACAATCATTTTAGATGTTCCGTTTTGATTTGCCCGCGTGCAATGCAACACGTATATCCCACATGTTCGTTTCCCGCCCTCTTCGTCTTCGATCGTACCCTTTTAGGGGGAGGTGTTCTCTACTAACCTGCCATGTATATTCTGCGCGGGTCCTGAAACAGGGGACAAGAGGACGGATGGAAGAGGGAGGGAAAAGGATGGAGCACGAGAGAGATTAGCAGGATGGAGCAGAAAGCACATGGCAGAACCAGACGGGCAGATCGGGCGGGTAGACCCACGGGCAGATCGGGCGGGTAGACCCTCACGGGCGGGTCTGGAAGGCGGGCCCAGGCGGCCTCAGGCAGGCGAATTGCTGAAGCGTGAGTTCTGCATGAATCGGGAGGTTGTCTCGAGCGATAACGCACTTCCCAAGTAAATCGTGACACAAGCAAAAGCGAAAGCGTTCTTCCTGAGTGTCGAGGGCGCGGCGTCTGAGTACATTGCAAGGACGCCCCACGCGAGAGCACGACTCCAGTACAAGTTGTGAGGAAGTCCTGCGCGAGAGCGTGATGTCTGAATACATGGTGAGGAAGTATCTGGCAGGATCCACTGTTGTTGTAAACCGGCGGCCAACAACAAACATCTGAGCTCCAAGACCTTCCTTCGTAAAAACATGGTGCCAGCCATGGGAGTAGCCCTTTAATTGAAAAACACTCTGGGCATCGGGGGAGCAACCATATTTCTTGTCAAGAACTGAGATTCAATCACCGCAACAACATCAATCAGTTTAATGCTGCTCGCTCTTATCTGCTCGCGAGACACTCAACACGTATATCCCGAACCTTCGGTACCCGCCCTCTTCGTTTTCGATCGTACCCCCTTGGGGGTATAAGTCTTTCTCACCTGCAACGTGTATTCCGTGCAGGTCCGAATGGGGGAAGAACAGATGGAAGGAAGGGACAAAGGAGAGGGAGAAGGATGGAGCACGAAAGAGAGGCGCAGAAGGGGGAACCAGAAACAAAAAACGAGCGATGGCGCGATTCCCGAATACATCGCCAGGCAATACACAGCGAGAGCGTGATTCCTGAGTGCGGAGGGCGCGGCGTCTGAATAAATTGCGAGGGCGTCCGACGCGAGAGCGCGATTCCTGTATAAACTGTGCGGACGTGCCCCGCGAGAGCGCGATTCGGGAAGACGCTGTGAGGAAGTATCAGGCGGGAGCTGGTGTTGTTGTTGGTGGTGGTGGTGATGGTGGTGGTGTCGTTGTTGTTGTGGATCGGAGACCAACAACAAAGTTTGCTGGTTTTCCCTCGTAGAAAGAAGGGCGCGAGACCCAGGAACAGCATTTTATTTGAAAACATGTGATACCGAAGAACATCAAAATTGGGGTCTTTGCAGTGCTACAGGGCTTTTGGGCTAGAAGGCTATGGGGCTAGAGGGCGATTTGGGCTGGAGAATATACAAACATGTAGCCAGGGGGCGATTTGTTAAACAAGTTTTGAACTGTTTGGAGCATTTGTATGACTATTTTCAATGTTCATGCAAAATCCGCCTGTAGGGGGACACGCCCGACCTAAGGATAGCCTAGCATCCAGGATCGAGTACACCACCTGTCCGGCCACGCCGCCCCGGCCAAAAGCCAGGGGAAGAGAGGGTTGAAACGCCGAGCACGGGCAAGGACGCCCGACGATTAGGGGGGAGACCCTGGAGGGGGAGAGGGGGAGGAGGAGGGGAGAGGAACCGGAAAGCGGAGGAGGCGGGCGCGCGGCCGTGGGACCTAAGCCACCGACCCCCACCGTCAGGCGCGCGCGCACCTACGGGCAAGCTGCGTGCGCCCGCGTCGCGTCAGGAATCCGACCCTTCCCGCACACCCTCATCCA